TGGCATATGGTGCTGGGGGATTGAACCGCGGTCCCTGTGCTTTGCTAAGCTTGTTCTAAGTAGGTGCTTTAGACCACTGAGCCATCTCACCAGCCCTAGAAGACACACTTTGATTCCTCTCACCAAAATGTAAGTCTGACTGCTTTGTACACACCTCTCCTTGTATGCTTATTTCTGCCCCTCTGCTGCCAGCTCATTGACAAGTTCTGATACATACTGCCCAGAGGTGTTGTAACAGTTCCAAGCCCAAGTTGCATCTTTCCTATCAACTATAACAAAAGATACATGAAATGCTGTCTAACTTACTACCTCTAGTTTTTATCATGTATTGTCACCTTAGGACACATATAAAGCTTAGATGCTATGCAATAGCATATGAACTTTATGCACAATAAACCCAAGTACTTTACCCAAAATGCACATATAGGGCAGGGGACATAGCTCAGTGGCACAGTGCCTGCGGGCAAGCATGAGGTTGAGTTCAATTCCCAGTACAAAAAAAAAAATAATAATAATAATACATATAGGCCTATTATCTTACCATTTTCTGAAATCTTCTTTGATCTCTTTTTTCAGAGTACTGTAATTTTAAATGTATAGATCTTCAACTTCCTTTGTGAGATTGATTCCTAAATATTTTATTCTTTTGGATGTTATTGTGAAAGGCATGGTTTTCATAATTTCTCTCTTGGTACATTCATTATTTGTGTATAGAAATGCTATTATTTTTTGAGTGTTGACTTTGTGTCCTGCTGTGCTACTGAATTTGGTTATTAAATCTACAAGTCTTTTGATGGAGTTTTTAGGGTCTTGTATGTAGAGTATATCATGTGAGAATAGTGATAATTTCACTTCTTTTCAAATCCTTATTCCTATTGTTTCTCTCTTTAGGGGAATTTCTCTGGCTAATGTTTCCAGGTTATAATAAATAGGAGTGGTGACAGTAGGCACTTTTGTCTTGTTTCTGATTTTAAAGTGAAATCTTTCAGTTTTTGTCTATTTAGTATGGTGTTGGCTGTTGATTTGTCATTGATGGCTTTTATCAGATTGAGGTAAAGACCATCTATTCTTATTTTCTGTAGTTTTTATCATGATGAGTGTTGGACTTTGTCAAAAGCTTGTTCTCCAGCTATTGAGATGGTCATGTGGTTTTTGTACTTGGCTCTGTTGCTATGATGTTCTATATTGATTTGTGAATATTGAACTATCCCTGCATTTTTTTGGATAAATCCTATTTATTCATGTTATATAATCTTCTTGATGATTTGCTACTTTCTCTTTGTTAGCATTTTATTGAGAAATTTTGCGTCTATGTTCATAAGGGAGATTGAGGGATAGTTCTTTTTTGGTTGGGTCTTTTTCTGGTTTTGCTATCAGGGTAATACTTACCTCCAGGAATGGGTTAGGGAGAATTGATTCCCTTTCAATTTTATTGTAGTGTTTGAGAAGAATTGGCATTAAATCTTTTCTAAATTTCTTGTAGAATTTAGCAATGAATCCATCAGTACCTGGGTTTTAAATTAGATTTTCAATTTCATTAACTGATACTGGTTTATTGAGAATTTTTATGATTCTTGATTCAGCTTTGGGCAT